TTCAAACTTTAATGCGTATATAAAATAAACCATGCGAGTATGTTTGTACTAGAAATAGCTAGATGATCCCTGGTTGCATAATTATTCATATATACGTACACGAACTATGGACCAGACTCGAATGGAGGATTCTGCGTAAAATAGCAGTATACAGTCTATTTTCCTCACTACTACGAGTTTTCAAAGAAAGATTATCGAGAAATCTGAAGTAAAATTCCAATCAAATCCAAATATCCACACCAATCCAAAAACAATAAATGATACATAGGTTCAGTTTTGAATCTGAACTAAAGATAAATTAAAATTAAATGACATTAATTAGGAAAGAAGAAACAATTTAATTTCAGATACTGCATGGCACCCACCACTTCACATTTCTCTCATTCTCCCATGCACCCAACTTCTCTTTCTCTCTCTAACAAAATGGACAAAACGTGAGCACAATAGGCCATAGGGAGGAGAATCGGTCCGGTTCGGTTTAACATGCATTTACGTCTTACCTTGTTAACCATATTGCATTTTAGCCAAAATCAAAACCGAAAAATGGATTAAATGCTATAACTGAGATCATATCATTTTTTTAACAATCTATGAAATTACTAAGTTCAGCATCACGTCTCTCCTCTTTTGTTCACTCTGCCTTCTCTCTAGAGGCTCCCTCTCATTATGAGTTTGGGGGCTGCTGCCGGCATTTCTCCGACGACCGGCGGCAGCCCTCCACCCCTTCTTTTCGTTGTTTTTCTTCTGTTGATTCCTGCTTTTTTTCTTCTTTCAACGCCTTTTGATTTTCTTTTGCCTTTGGGCTCGGTTTTTGCCTGTGTTGGGTGGTTGTCTTCCCCGTTGTTGGGTTCCTCTTCTTCCCCTGTGTTGGGATGGTTCTTTTGCCCTCCGATCTGTTGGCTCAGATTTGGAGATGATGGTCTGATCTAAGAAGCGATGGAGGCCGAATTTGTTTCAGATCTGGCTTGTCTTTTCCTCTCCTCTCTCTAGTCTACCTCCTTGTCTCACCTTGCAGATCTAGGTGTTTCGGAGATGCAGCCTTTGGCGTCGGACTCAGGGTGGAGAGCTTGAAGACAAAAGTCCTTCTTCCTCTAGTGCTTTCGTCGGCGACCGGTCGTCTTTTGTGGTCCTCTAGTCCTGTTCGGTGGGCGACAATGACGACTGGCCCGGGGTGGGATGGTGGAGATCTCTCTTCCTCGTCCTTCCATCCGGGTTTAGCGGAAAGGGTTCCTCGGAGTTGGAGCGCGGCGGCGGTTGCTGGTGGCGGCGGTGGTGCTGGGTGGCGCGACGGCTGCGGCGAGGGTGTCTTTTGGCTGCGGCGATGGAGGCTTCAGAGGAGGCAGATGGAGCAACTAGGGTTTGGAAAACCTCACTTGTTGTTGGGTCCGGGTCTGGGCCCGATTGGGTGCCGGCCCATTTGTGTTTTTTGGGCCTTTTGTTTGGTTTTCTGATTCTTGTTGTTTTTTTCTGCTTGTGCTTTTCCATATGGGCTTGGCCCGATCGCTTTCTTAATGAACAACTCTTTCAAAAAAAAAAAGAGATCATATCATTTTGATCCAGTTCCGATCCGGCAAATTGTGTTAAATCGGAAGGAAGCAATTTCCAATTTCCCATCTTATTTTTGTAAAAAAAAAAAACAATGGGCCATAGGGAGAAGAATGGGTCAGGTTCGGGTTAACATGCATTAACGTCTTACCTTGTTAACCATATTGTACCATTTTGGCCAAAATGACGACCGACAATAAACTAAATGCTATAACCGAGATCATACCATTTTGATCTAGTTCCGATCCGATGAATTGTGTTAAATCGAAAGGATGTAATTTCTTATTTCCTTATCTATTCCGTCTCCTTTCAGTCTCCTCTGATCTTTCTCGCTCCTTCATCCGAAGAGACTGCAACCTGAATTCGTTTCGATTCTCATCGTCACTAGAAACTAGTTGATCGATATGAAAGTGTCTCATATGAAATCAACTATCTCTCTAAACACACTCTGATCTGCGCATATCCCGAAAATATGTCTCCTTTTCTCTAAAAAAAGAAAAGAAGATCACCGACCAGGCGACTACACCAATGCAAATGACTAGTGTTGCATCCTCGAAGCATATCCACACAGACGAACGATCATATACCCATTAGGGTTTCGAATCCTCTAGGTTACAAATACAATACCTGTCCTAGGAAAAGAAGCAAATTAACTTTCAACTCTTCCATGATAGAGTCATGGGTGCTGTCTCTATGGTCACTAGTAAACTAACATGTGAAGAGTTTTATGTTATGTGTTTATTCCTAGTTTATCGTTTTTGTTGTTAATGAAAATCGTTGATAGGACGAGGACTAGTAAAAATTATAATGACATGGTGTTATCACCGTATCTCCTCTTCAAAGTATCGATCTAGCATATTAAAATACTCGCAAGTACGTAATTTTCATATTAAATAAAGCGAAAACCAACCATGTGTTCCTCTTTTTTACAGTCCACATAACCATGGATGCATCATGCATGCTGTTTAGATTCCCTGAACACTTTCCCTCTCACTAGGAATGAAAATAGGCAGGTCCGGGGCGGGAATCTCAATACCCATACCCGTTCCGTAGCAGGTCGGGTAATTTATCATAGGGCGCGTGTTGGGGCAGGGCGACCCAATGCGTATGTAATTTATGCAAAAAAAATTTAGAAATATTCGTTATTTTCATGAAAAGAACAAGAAATAAAGCATTATATGATAAAATGTAATTAAGTTATTGGAGAAATTGAGGTTTTTACTTATTTACAACTTTCTTGTAGCTAAAATATGATGTAATAAGAGGAAACTCCTAAGTAATTTTACTAAGATTACATGTAATTTAGGCAGGAACGTGTCAAGAATGAGGCAGGTCGGGACAGGTCGGGTCGATGAGAGGTACCCCATACCCGACCCAATCCGTCCCTACCCTCAGACAAAACAGGTCAGGTAAATCGGGTCAGGTCGAAATTGCCATCCTACCTCTCACTCTACGGTAGCTCCATAGCTAGCTTGAGGTTAATTATATTTAGTTTTACAGATCCATCTTTTTTTCCCGTGCCAATTAGTTGATATAGTCGCAGAACTGATTTGGAAGTACCTTCATCTTTACCAAACATGCAGTACGTACGTGTAAATAGATCGCTTGAGCAACTGTACACAGTACATAGTTTTATTCCTCCATGTATATTTCTTTAACCATGCATGGAGTACAATCAACCATATGATACGGTTCAGCTGCAAAATGACGACACATTTAAACTACTACTCAATGATTTCCTTTACCAGGAGGAGGAGGAGGAGGAGAGTGATGTCCTTCACCAGGAGAAGGGCCAGAAGCGGTTGGTCTAAAGGTTCTGTTTAAAACAGAAGTATGATAAACTCCTGAATTTGTTATTTGAGCTTTTGAAGGAGTAGAAACCTTGTTCTCGAGTAGCAATGAACGAGCTCCACAAACTGTGGTGAATATTAATAGTACACAGCTCGCGATGAGGAGGGTATTACTAAGGAAACTGCTCGAGTTGTGCGAATTCATGGTGATGGGAGAGAGAATGGAGAAGAAGAGGATTGGAAGAAGAAGAAGAAGAAGAAAAGGGAAGCCGAAGAGGTTGAAGAAAGTGAGGGTGAATATACAGAGAAGAAAACGAGAGAGGTTGAGAATATATAGAAGAAGGGATTGGGAAGAAGTTAGGAAAAAGGGTTGTGGAGAAGAAGAAGAAGAAGATGACAAAGAAGGTGGCGGATTTATTAAATGACCATACTTAAGTCAAGAAACAAACTATTTAATTTGAGATATCTTCCATTAAACCCACAGTTCTCTCTCTTCCCACTCACCCTTTCCATCTTAAAAAGACAACTTAATACAGATCCAACAAGCCATACAAATCTAACAATAAGTGCTTATTCCGTCTCTGGCGGAACGATCGGAATATGAAAGAGAATCGCACGTGTGTAAGTTCTAAAACGTGAAGATATTTTGCGTTCAACTAATTCGTTCCGTTGAGACGACATTCCAGAACAAGAATGTTGTGCTAGAGTAGTACCACGAGATTTATAGAAAGCAACCAACTCATCTTTTGCTAAACTCCCCCGGGATCTAAATGAATGATCTTGATTGTTCTCCCAAATTGAGTTTGAATCATTTGGAAAAACTATTTGCCACATTCAATAAGTTCAGACTTTTGTCGATCGTATGAAATAAATATTAGGGAGAAATCCTAGGTTGTATAGGATTTGTATTCGTTGTCCTTCTCCCTCTTGTATTCTGTCTCTCTGTACTTGTATAAATATACACTCTTACATAATGAAATACACACAAGGTTGAAATCCCTTACATGGTATCAGAGCACCGTTCCAAACCCTAAATTTTTTCGTTCTTGTTGGCTGGCTAGCCCTTCGCCATGTCTGAGTTTGCTGATGACTCCTCCACTGTTGCTGCTGGAGCCTCTGCTGTCGCCGCCGATCTACAGCTGGTCACGTTCAATCCAGCTGCGTCCCTTCCTCTCAAACTCACCGCCACCAACTTCCCATCCTGGCGAGCACAGCTGTTTTCCCTCCTCTATGGCCTTGACCTTGTCGGCTATCTCGATGGCACCGTCGCTCCACCAGCTGAAACCATCCTCGTCGATGGTGTCTCTACTCGGAATCCGGCCTACACTCACTGGTTCCGACAGGACAAACTTCTCCTCAACGGCATCTTTGCCTCGGTCACGGCAGAACTCTGCCCTTTCATTGCGGCTGCGCGCACATCACGTGAAGCATGGGACACTCTTCAACGTACCTATGCTGGTACCTCGTACTCTCGCATTATGACTCTGCGAGATCGCCTCCTTGGCGAACGACGCGGTGACCGGGACATCGCCACCTACATTCAGGCTCTTCGGTCTCGCGCCTCTGAACTAGCCCTAGCCGGTGAAATTATTCGCGACGAGGAGCTCGTCACCGTTTGTCTCCGCGGACTTGGACCCGAATACAGCGAATTCGCCGCCGGGATTCGGGCTCGTGATGTTGCACCTAAACTGGAGGACCTCCTCGATCGTCTGCAGGCCCTTGAGAGTGACCTCAAGGCCATTCGCCCCTCTGCTGAACACCCAGCGACTGCCTATGCCACTCAACGTGGTCGCGGTCGCGGACGTGGACCTGGTCGCGGATCTGGACGCGGAGCTGGTCGCGGCTCTTCCTCCTCCCCAGGCTCGGCTCCTTCCTCTGGCTCGTCTCCGTCATGGGACTCTCCTCCCAGTGATGACGATAACTCCCGCAGCAGGCCGCGAATCTACTGTCAATTTTGTGACAAGCCTGGTCATGTCGCCAAGAATTGCTTCCAACTCTTTCCCCACAAACGTCCGCCGCAGGCCAACTACACCTCCCATCCACCTACTGCTCCATCTTCTGCGACCAACGGTGGCTGGCTCATGGACTCCGCAGCTACACATCACGTCACCAACAACCTCGGCAATCTCTCTCTCTACTCTGATTACAACGGACCGGATGAAATCTACTTGGGTGATGGTTCAGGTTTGCGGATAACTCACATTGGCTCATCGTCTCTTTTAGCACCACCCAAGACTCTCACTTTACGTGATGTTCTATGTGTACCTGCCATCAAGCATCATCTTATATCTGTTGCTAAACTTTGTCGCACTAACCCGGTGTCTGTTGAATTCTTTGCTGATTTGTTCATTGTGAAGGATCTAAGAACGGGGGCGCGCCTGCTGACCGGAAGGAACAAAGGTGACACGTACGAGCTTCCCCATCAGTCTGCTGCTGTTCGTGTAGCCCTAGTCACCACTAGTCACTCGCCTGACTCATGGCATCGTCGTCTTGGTCACCCGTCCTCCAAGTCTCTACTTCGTCTCCTTCGCACTCAGTCGTTACCACATTCGTCTAAGTCTCTTACCCATTGTAATTCGTGTCTGTCGAACAAAAGTCATAAGCTTCCTTTCGGTGATTCTAGTTTGTCAAGTACTCGGCCCTTTGATCTGTTGTTTTCTGATGTCTGGGGTCCTGCCCCTGTCGAGTCTATAGATGGTTATTCCTATTATCTAGTTATTGTTGATCATTTTACAAGGTATACTTGGATCTATCCTCTCAAACGTAAGTCCGATGTTTTGTCCGTCTTCATTGCATTCAAAACCCTCATTGAGAACTTCTTTTCCACTACCATCCGTCGCCTCTATACCGATGGAGGGGGCGAATTTCTAAAGCTCAAACCTGCCCTTGTTCAAAATGGGATCGCTCATCTTCTTACTCCACCGTACACCCCCCAACATAATGGGCTGTCCGAGCGCAAACACCGCCATATTGTGGAAACCGGCATCACCCTTCTCCATCAAGCTCGCCTTCCCCTCTCATATTGGTCCTATGCCTTTACCACAGCCGTGTATCTCATCAACCGGCTTCCCTCGTCCGCTCTCCGAGGTCAAATCCCGTTCACTTCTCTGTTCAATGAGCCCCCTAATTACTCTAAACTTCGGGTCTTCGGTTGCTTGTGCTACCCCTGGTTGCGTCCCTATAATTCTCATAAACTCCAACCCCGATCCCGCCCATGTGTATTCCTTGGCTACTCACACCAACAGAGTGCTTATAGGTGTCTAGATCCACAAACTAATCGAGTCTACGTCTCTCGTCATGTTCTTTTTGTTGAGTCTCAACTTCCTGGTGTTCAATCCTCACTTCCCTCCGTGTCAGCCGAGACTTCCTCAACATCGTGGCTCACTGCCACGTCCCCTGTTGTTACTCTTCTACCTTGCAGGTCGTCACCTCCCCTCCCAGTTCCCAGGCCAGCGACGCCGCCCCCTAGTCCCTCTCACACGGAACACTCACCATTGTCTTCGACCACACCGGCGACACCATCACTGTCCCCCTCGGACTCGTCGACGGGCGACTCAACTCCACCACCGCCCCCTCCGTCTCCACCAGTGCGGCACCCCATGCGGACTCGTGGCCAGAATAACATATTTAAACCTAACCCCAAGTATGCTTATGCTACTTCCTTGCAGGCTACTCCTCCGCTTGCGCCGACCTCCATCAAGGAGGCCATGAAACATGATGTCTGGCGCCGAGCTCTACATGCTGAAAATGATGCCCTCATCGCCAACCACACATGGGATCTGGTTCCCCGCCTCCCTCACTATAACGTGATCGGCAACAAATGGCTATATCGGGTCAAGTTTCTCTCTGACGGCTCCATCGAACGTCACAAGTGTCGCCTTGTCGCGAAAGGGTTCCATCAACGGGCTGGAGTGGATTTTCATGAGACCTTCAGCCCTGTTCTCAAGCCGGTGACTGTTCGTACAGTCTTTACACTAGCGCTGTCATCTAAATGGCCGATCTTTCAGTATGATGTCAACAATGCATTTCTTCAAGGACCACTTCAGGAAGAGGTTTACATGACACAACCGCCTGGGTTTCGTGATCCTCAGTTCCCTGACCATGTGTGTCGTCTTCGCAAAGCTATCTACGGCCTTCGTCAAGCACCGCGCGCCTGGTATGATGCTCTCAGTAAGTTCCTCCTATCCTGTGGCTTTGTGAAGACGTGCTCCGATGCGTCATTGTTTGTGTACTCGCATGGTGGTATACTAGCTTATTTCCTCATGTACGTTGATGACTTGCTCCTCACTGGCAACAATGAGGCCTTCCTCACGGCCTTTCAAGCCCAGCTCTCGGATCGGTTTTCCTTGAAGCATCTTGGTCATGTTCATTTTTTCCTTGGGATTGAGGTCATTCCCACGTCGTCGGGCTGCATCTTGTCTCAACACAAGTATGTCAACGATATCCTCACTCGGTTCCAAATGCATGAAGCAAAACCGGCCTCGACTCCTCTAGCATCGACTACCCGTCTCACCCTCAACGACGGCTCCGCCCCGTCCGATGCCACTCTCTATCGGCAAGTTGTTGGTGCTCTCCAGTACCTCGTCACTACGCGGCCTGACATTGCCTTTGCTGTCAACAAGTTGTCCCAGTACATGCATGCCCCGACCTTCACCCACTGGCAGCATGTCAAGAGGCTCCTTCGCTTCATTGCTGGTACTCGCTCACTGGGAATCCACATTGCTCGACAGTCGACCCCTCTTTCCCTACGAGTTTTCTCTGACTCTGACTGGGCAGGTGATGTTGATGATCGGACGTCCACATCAGGGTTCCTAATCTACCTCGGTGACACTCTTATTTCGTGGAAGTCCAAGAAACAGCGCACGGTCGCTCGCTCCAGCACAGAAGCCGAATACAGAGCTCTAGCTCTGGCCACTTCTGAGACTATTTGGATACAGAATCTCCTTGCTGAACTTCACTACTCGCTTCCTGCTGCTCCTACTCTCTACTGTGATAATCTCGGTGCCGTCAACTTCAGCTCTAATCCGGTATTCCACTCCCGCATGAAACATTTGGCACTGGATTATCACTTCGTCCGTCAGCTTGTCAACTCCAGGCAGCTTCTGGTTCGCTACCTTCCCACTGCGTCTCAGCTCGCGGATCTGCTGACTAAAGCTCTTCCGGTTACACGCTTCCGCCTCTTGAGCTGCAAGATTGGACTCGCTGACGCTGCCTCCATCTTGCGGGGGCGTATTAGGGAGAAATCCTAGGTTGTATAGGATTTGTATTCGTTGTCCTTCTCCCTCTTGTATTCTGTCTCTCTGTACTTGTATAAATATACACTCTTACATAATGAAATACACACAAGGTTGAAATCCCTTACAATAAACCCAAGTGTATATGGAAACATGATCGATGAGAGTATAAAGTGCTTGTAACACATACGAGACATAACTGGAGGGTGAGTCAACACTTTTGTTAGTAATTCGAGTGATTAATATTGATATTAAATATTTCTAGTGTCATGTTTTAGTAAACCTAGTGAGGCATTTACCCTATAATTTCATAAGCTTCCTATAGACACCAAACAATACAGAGCCAACTGAAGTAATTAAACTGTTTAGGCCACGATTTCAGCCTCGAATCCATCTGAATTAAAACTTCACAGTGATTAGATAAACCTGCAGCAATAGCCTGACCACACTCCTATAGGATAATTTGAAAACCAAGCACTGTTAACTAGTGTCTTATCCAGCCTTTTTGGTATAGGTCTACCTTACTTCTTATTTGTCGAGGTAAATCAACGCCCAAGACTTAGATGATCCTCTAATTTTAATTATATCATCAATCAAATGACAATTTTAATCACTGGCCCCATACTATTGTGTGGATATAAGTTCTTCTTGAAAAAACATATCAATTCACGTATCCAAAATAAATGGTGATTGATCTTATTAGATGCAAAAAACTAAACTAAAGAGTAATTTCTTAGCCAACTTCCACGAGAAACCAATGTTTTCAATATAAAATAATCTACCAGGACAACCATCTTGAGTATAACTATTTTGAATCCATTTTCATAGGAAAATAACTGACATTAATTATTGCATCTAATCAACTTATGGACATGTGTTCGAAATTTTTTATTCGATATCATCTGGAAGACAATTTAACCATATTTTCAAGTCTATATAGTTGTTGAATTTGGATTGAAAAAAAGCCAAATTTTACTATTAACCTTGTACCATACTCATAATCAACAATATCTAGGGTGTCAATTTGATTGGCTTGGATAGATAGCCAATAATACTTAGTATAATATATTTTAAAAAATTGGGTTTCCCTATTTTAAAAAATTGGGTTTCCCTATTTTAAAAAAATGGGTTTCCCTATTTTAAAAAATTGGGTTTCCCTATAGTTGATAGAAGAATTCATTTCCTCCCTGTTTAATTGGTAAGAGAGTTGTAGAAACAAAAAAAATGGTCCCGCCTAGGGTATCAATTTGATTGGCTTGGATAGATATCCAATAATACTTAGTATAATATATTTTAAAAAATTGGGTTTCCCTGATAGAAGAATTCATTTCCTCCCTGTTTAATTGGTAAGAGAGTTGTAGAAACAAAAAAATGGTCCCGGCGGGGCTCGAACCCGCGACCTTCGGCTCATAAGACCAACGCTCTAACCAACTGAGCTACGGGACCAATTTGGTTGAAAAGGTAAGTAACGATCAACTTATTTATCGTAGTCTTGGAATTGGATTAACCTTACAATAAACAATGGCAACAAAAGAAAAAAGGTTTATGAGAAGTTGATGACTTTAACCATGAAGTTTGAAGAGCCTCTAAAGAATAATCACTTTAGCTTGCCTTGTTCAATGAATTGGTTTAGCTATAAATTATACTAGATGGTGATGCCGCGCCTTGTCGCGGGGTGGAGATGGCTTATAGACATGTATTATGTGGCCCGTTATGGTGTCTTGATAGTATTATTAGTCTAAAATTAATTTTTCGTTGGCAGTTTTGTTAGTAATATTGACTTGGCAATATGATATTGACTGAGAAGAGATATATGGCTGTCAACATCCAACTTAATATTTTTTTTGTGAAAATTTTGGCTAGTAAATGATATTTACCTAAACCCAAGTAGACCCATTGATTATGGGAAGAGTATGGTTGACTTGTATATGAGTTTGGATGTTTGTAGATGGAAGTTTGTATTCCTTTTGCTTCTCTCTAGAGTTATTCTTTTTCACCTGGGCTAGAATTTTCAACAAATATACATGGAATATTTTGCTAGATATCTACATATATCAAATCTCATAGTGGAAAACGACGACTTTCTAATAAGTAATAACCATATACATTTATTTTTAATTGGGCTCGACATTGAGCTAAAAAAGTTAGTGGTTCATAGTTTAATTATTAGTTGTCTAGACTGTTGCTGAGTCGTGTATGGAGCCATTCATACTTGTGATTAGAATACATAAAAATAATATACTAATTAGGGTTAGACGAAGAAGGCAAAGAAAGAAATAAAGAAAGAGTTATGGAAGGCGAGTGAAAAATAAAACGAAAAGAAAGTAGATGATGTAAAGGTTTTGACCAATTCTTTTAGTTGGTCGTCAATACAACAGTCAATCCTTTTCACCGTAGCAAATTATTGACAAGTATTT